ATGTTCTTGTTGTTGTTAGATACTTTGAGTGGATTCTGACTCTAGTGACCTTATACTCAACAGAATGAACCTGCTGGTGCTGGCTGTCCTCAACATTGTTGAGCCCATTGCTGCTGCCACTGTGTCAATACATCTTATTGGGATCTCCCTCTTTTTCGCTGTCCCTCCAATATACCAAGCATGTTATCCTTCTCCAGGGACTGGTCCCTCCTGATAATATGTCCCAAGTACGAGAGATGAAGTCTCACCATCCTGGCTTCTAAGAAGCATTTGGGCTGTAGTTCTTCCAACACAGATTTGTTTGTTCATTCAGCAGTCCATGAAACTATTAATACTCTTCTTCAAAACCATAACTCAGCTGCATCGATTCTTCTGTGGTCTTCTTTATTCATTGTGCAACTTTCACATGCATATGAAGCTACTGAAAATGTCATGGTCAGGCACACCTTAGTCCTCCAACTGAAATCTTTGTTCTTGAATGCTTTAAAGAGGTCTTGTGCAACAGATTGACTAATGTAATGCAGCCTTTGATTTCTTAACTGCTGTTTCCAGGAGTGTTGATAGTGGATCCAAGACAGTGGTCTTTGACATCTTCAATCTTTTCTCCATTTGTTAAGTGTTATTGAGTCAGTTCCAACTCTTAGTGGCCCTGTATAGGGTTTCGGAGGAGCAGTTGGTGATCCAACAACCTTGAGCTTCAACAGACCCTTTTCTCCAGTACTTATCCTATAGCACCACACCAGGACTCCCTTTATCATGAAGTTATTTACTGGTTCTATGGTGAAAATTGTTGTTTTCTTCACATTGAGGTACAACCCATAAAGAAGACTGTGGTCTTTGATCATCATCCAAAAAGATTTTAAGTCCTCTTGGCTTTCAGCAAACAAGGTTGTATCATCTGCATATTGCAGGTTGTTAATGAGTCTTCCTCCAAACTTGATGCCATGATCTTCTTCATATAAACCAGTTTCTCTATTTGCTCAGCATACATATTGTATGCTGAATGAATACAACCCTGGCATACATCTTTCCTATTTTAAACCATTCAGTGTCCCCTTGTTCTGTTGGAAAGACTGGCTCTTGTTTTATGTACAGATTCCTCATGAGCACAATTAAGTGTTCTGGAATACTTGTTTTCTGCAGTGCTGTCTATAGATTGTCATGATCCACACAGTCAAACCTTTGCATAGTGCATAGTCATTAAAGCACAGGTAAACATCTTTCTGGTATTTTTTGCTTTTAGCTAAGATCCCTCTGATGTCAATAATGATATCTCAAGTTCCACGATCTTGCCGGAATCTGGCTTGAACCTCTAGCAGCTCCCTGTCAATGTACTATTGCAGCTATTTTTAAATTACCTTTAGCAAAACTTTACTTGCATGTGCTATCAATGATATTGTCCTACGATTTCCACATTCTGTTGGGTCACCTCTTTTTGGAATGTGCACAAATATGGATCTCTTTCCATCAGAGAGCCAGGTAGCTGTCTTCCAAATTTCATAGATAATGAATACCTCCAGTTTTAGATCAGTTTGTTGAAAGATTTCAATTTGTATTCCATTGATTCTCAGAGCCTTGTTCTTTGCCAGTGCCTTTGGTGTACCTCGACCTCTTCCTTTAGTACCATTGACTCTTGGTCATATGCTATCTCATTTTGGTACAGTGACTCTGTGTATTCCTTCTAATGTTCTTTT